GTACTTCAAGTCCTGTGCAAAAACGCATGATCGCACGGGCCCGCCCGGTGCGTTCCACCCTGGGTTTTGATCTCATTAAGTCCTATGTGGACGGAAAACATCTCCTTAAAATTCCAGCTTTGCTGGTTTCCGAGTTAGCGACTTACTCGAGAAGAATTTTCCGCGAGCCCAGTAGGTGAAAATCATTTGGGCCGGAGTGTCCACTTTGAGGATAGGGGCCCGTACTTGCATGTAGGTTAAGTCACCATAGTTTCAGCCTTGTAGCTTTCTAACTATCCAGATGAAAAATCGATACATACTCACATACAAACACACATGCACACACAGAGAGAGAAAACTCCTCAACAATATGCGTTTTTGCAATGCACAGAATACAAAAAACGCCTAAGAAGGGCTTTTCCGAACCGTGCGAGTATCACGCGATTTAACAGGACTGCGAGAGAGAAAAGTATCGGAGTTCGTAAAATACACTCGTTTTTGGGCATGGCAGTAAGCAGCCACCACAAGAAAGAGCCATTGGTAGCTTTGCCAACGTGTGGTTGCTGTTGGCAATTGCTTACTCTCGAACTGTTTTCCAATTGCTTTCTCCTCTCACAGACAGCGAATATGAAAAAGGTTGTGACTTTGCAATAAATCCATGATAATCTTTACAAACAGAACGGGCATAGCAAATCGACTGCAGCAACAAAAATATAAGCAGCGTCTGTGACGGTACATTAGCAGCATAGCATATGATTTTTCTAGAACAAAGCTAAATGATGGAAGCGAACAAGAGGGTGAGGCCAAGCGGGAGCATGCAATGAAGGAGAAAGATGGGAAGGAGCAAAATCAGACTCATTCCCTTTAAAGCGCAGATGGAAGCACCGAGGTGAATAAATTTAGTCTCGTTTTGATATGAATCGAGAATAAAAAAGAGCTGATTCTATAGAAACACGTAATCATCGTCATATATCTCCTCTAGATAATGCTTGTTATTGTAGAGACTACAGTCAATTAAGCGTCCCCATCTGACCATCCATGATCGATCGCATGCCACGTAATAAGGCCACGGCAACTCATTGATTTGATCCAGGAACCTCCTGAAGTTTAACAAAGTTCACTGTAAAAGTTCAACTAAATAATTTGTTTATCTGATCAATATGTATGGGTTTGCGATGAACCAAAGTACCGGACACTATAACGAGTGCCCGGACGGCACTGGTAATTTCTTGCCTGACTGCTTGTCTTGGCAGCCTTAATTATAAGTATGCAATGAGGGAGGCTATCGGAGCAGAAGGATGGCTAGTGGGAGGAAGAGTGAAAACCAAATAAAGCCGACTATGCATTTCGATAATAAGTGACCGCCTCTAGGGCGCCAAGGGGTCATTTCCGTGGTTAACTGTTGCAACGAGTATACAACCCAGCACGTCAAAAATTAACAGCACTGCCCTTGATTATCATTCAGCTAATGTTTTGGCGTTTTAAATTTGCATTATTTTATTACCGGAAAATGAAAAGGTGACCCACCAATGTAGCATGTAGTCACTGGCGAAAGATCAGATTCTGGCTTTAATGGAAAAACTAACCTTGGTAATTTGGAAGTGAAAAATAATCATTGGCGGCACGCACCAGGCGTACTACCATGCGTTTTTGCAGCATTTCGTGCTGTAGAAAGATCGCTCGGAGCCCAAGTAGCTAAAATTTGTGGCATACTGGTCTCGAAGTTTACGAAGATAATTGTGCAGTTACGTATTACTTGGGTTGGGAACACCCTCCAAAATTTCAGCCTCCCAGCCTTTCTGGTCCCAAGTTAGCGGATTTTTCTGCCATAAATTTCCACAGAGCCGTACCTGGGAACCATGCAAATTTGGGGCGTCAATTTGAAGTTTTTAAGTTGTAGATGGGATGGAAACTTCTCCTCAAAATTTCAGGCTCCTAGCTTTTCTGGTTGACAAAGTTCACTCTCTTTGTGGGTGACAAAGAAAGTGGGTGACAAAGTTCACTCTCTTTCGAGTACACACGCATACACACACGGACGATCTCTCGACAATAAGCGCTCTTGCTCACTGTAGCTGTACAGCAGAAACGCACAAAACAACATTAAATTAAAAACAATGACATTTTAAACAATTTTAAAAAGTTAAAAAAATACTTATCAAGTAAAGCTGAAATGAAGATAATAATAATAACAATAATAGTAATGATAATAATAATAATAAAACTGATAGCATTAACTGCTGTAATAGTAAATAAAATAATATTGCTATTATCAATAATAATAACGACAATAATAATTATGAAAAAGTCATAACAATAATAATGATAATGGTAATAAAAGTAATGAAAATAACAAAAGTAGTAGATAATAATGATTGAAGAGGTTAATCACAGTGAAATATAAAGTTAAAAAATAAAAATAAAAATTATTCCAGCCAGCCAAAAAATCACCAGTTGGTTTTATTTCCCTGTATGCAATTATATGTTTGCAAGAAATTTTTGTCCTTCCTTTGCAGCAACACATAATCGTAAAGCAACGTGTGATTAGGATTCTGTCGGTCGGCTTCGTACTCCATCTGGACTCTCGTCGATATGGCCTGAAGAAGTTGTTTGAAGATCTAGTCACATTGCGAGCACATTTACTATATGAAACAATTAAACATCTAGTAAAATCATCCTGGAAACATACCAGGATTTGCTGCTCGGCCAGTGTTAATCGTGTTTGCCAGGGCCCGGCTTTTCGCCTGTAAAGTCCGATACCGAAACCTCCGTCCTCCCAAATAGGCTTGCAAGCATACCGTAGGCTTGCTGTGTTCAGATGCTCTTTCGATTCCGTCTCAATACTTGTAGCTATTGTTTTTTGTGACAGTGACACTTCTACACAAATCTGAAAAAGCGGCAAGCTGAGTGGCTACATTGAGAGAAAGAGCTGCTTGGTGAATGAAGGGAGGGTACCAATTGAAGAACGAGCCAAAAATTCGACTTTTGACTTTTCGACAAAAAAATCATCGGCGACGCGCACCGGGCGGGCCCGTGCGACCATGCGTTTTGCAGTATTTTGTGTCGTGATTAGATCGCTCGGAAAGCCACTAGCTAGAACGTTTAAAATACTAGTGCTCGAAGCTCGGGAATTTAATTATTACGTGGTAATTGGACAAGGGACAATCCATTAAAATATCAGCTTTCCTAGTTCCAGAGTTAGCCACTCTCCCGCTAAAGACTTTCGCGAGGCCGTACGTGAGAGCCACGCATGCCTGGGGATTGGATTTTTTAAATTTAAGTTTTAAATTTGCTGGGGATACCCACTTGAAATTTTAGCCTCTCCGCTTCCCTGTGTCTCGAGTTAGAAACTTTCCCGCCAAAAACTTTCACGGGGCTGTACGTGAGAACCACGCACGACCGAGGGTTGAATTTGCTAACTTTAAGTTGTACGTGGGCTAGGGACATCTCCTTAAAATTTCAGCCCTCCAGCTTTTCTGGCTTCCCAAATTAGCGATTTTCGCGCCTGAACCCTCACGGAGCCGTACGCGGGAATCACGCATACCTGGAGGCTGAATTTGAAATCCCTGAGTTACTAGTGGACGGGGACATAACCTCAAAATTTCAGCTTTCTAGCTTTTCAAGTTCTTTCTTTATGCGTTCTATCCCCTCTTCTTCTTCTCATCTCTGAACACTGCGATCGTCATACTGACGAGGTCCAGTCGCGGTGTTGAGCTAAGACGTATGTGACTTCATGGACCGGAACGTCTTAACTCTCTCGTG